CTCTTGCCACCCCCACCAAGCCTATGGGAATGGCCCACCACATTAACATTTCCTCAGCCCACACTGTCCCCTCACCCAACTCTACTTCAGTTGTTGGTTTCTATCCCCATATTAGGGACATCATCAATGCTCTTCCAAAACTCATTCTCAGTTTCACTGTATCCCGCTGGCTATGCCAGCTGTAAGTCAAATTCACTGCTGGGAGGTGCATGTGGCATCCAATCCCCTCTTCCCATGGTCCTTGCAACAACCTGAGAGAATTCTCTAAACCCGGGATTGAAGAATCTTAATGAATTTATTGGACTTGCTGAGTTTGGGATGAGGTTTACTTATAAATGAGTGGGCACCCCCACCCCTATTCAAGGCTGTGTTTGAAAATCCATACCCAAACATAAGTCCTGTGGCCCAGACAGCCTCACAAAATGGAGATAGACCAGCCTCATGGATTTCAAGCTTTTATATCCTAGCCTTTCCTCTGCAAGAAGCTATGGTCAACTGATTGGCTGGAAGAGGGAAGGAGAGAGGCTTATTGGCAGAGTGTAGGAAGGAGGCTGGTCCATAGCTCCTCATCACAGGGTCTGAGGATCATCCATGTCACATCTTGACTTTAGATAATTATGAGTTTTGTTTCTAATTTGGTTTTGATAGTGTATTATTCTCATCTCCTTCCTGCCCTATTAAAATATATCAGACATACCATAGAAATTGAACTTTATATTTCTGGAACATTGAATTTAAAGCTTACCATGGCAAGAGGTTTGGTTTCTGGACATGATATCAATATTAATGTGTTGATGCACATTTTCTTACTGTGCCCTCACGTTCTCTTCCTTCTACACATGCACAGTATAAAGTGGTTTTTTGGATATTCAGGGAAAGAAGGACAAATGAATATGAAGACTGGGGTAGAAATTCAAGGAGTCCACTAACAGGCATAAGGGAGTGTCGACTAGTTGAAAGAGAAGAGAGTGTCTTTAAAAAGTTTGTTCATCCAGGATACCATTGCAGGCAACTGTACAGTCTCTGGTGATGAAGGCTCTTTTCCAGTCATGGTATGTTAAGGACAGTACTTCTAAGAAGCATATTTATGACTATTTTTTTTAAGAAGAAAAGCAAATGATCCTTTCTGAAGTATTAGTTTCTCAATGGTTTCACCTTGATTAAATCAGTACCCAATTTGCCATATTTTATGACGGCATGTCTAAATGTTTGGTATAACAGGTTGATTTAATTTCATTCTCAATGACAAAACACTGTATAAATGTTGCCATCCTTACTCTTAGTATTTTTGCTATTTTAGGTACTTAATGTTTCTATGCTGGTTATTGTAATGTAATGTCTAAATATTTATATAAAAATATTACATGGTGGGGCTGAAGAGCTAGCAGGGGTTAAGAGTGCTTACTGCTCTTGCAGAGAACCTGTGTTCTGTTCTTAGAATCCAAGCCCAGAGGCTCATTACTACCTGTAATTACAGATCTGGTCTTTTGTACTCCACAGTCACCTGCACTCACAAATGCACATACCCACACACAGACACACACCCATTCACATACCTAAAAATGAAATAAGTAGTTTGTTTTAATCACATGATATTTCAAATTCTGCTTTTATTGCATTTATCCACATTGCAAAATGAAAATTTATGCTCCACATATAGCTAAATATTCTGCTGTTCATTAAAGCTGTGACTTCGAATCCATACACACAATCACAATATTTACAAAATGAAACTAATGTTTATAGATATTTCTATAGACAGAAATAGAACCATTGTTTAACTTGGTGCAGTGGCACACATCTTTAACCCCAAATCTCTAGAAGCAGAGGCAGGAAGATCTCTTAAGACTGAGACTAGCCTGATCTACATAGTTCTAGGCTAGCTGGGGCTGTAGGAAAACCCATTCCCAAAGAACAACGACAAAAAAGTTTAACACATGCTAGAAAGAAAATTGAAAAAAAAAATATACAATGACCAAAATTGATTTTCAATACATGAATAAAAATTAAAAATAGAAAATTCCATTAAGATAATTGAAATGATGATTACGGGTCCATTGTTTTCTTTCAAAAGAATGATGCATGGTATTTCATTCATGATATCATGGTTATAGAAAGACACAAATGTTCATTTACTTGGTTTTAGTTTTGTATATATACAATCTTAGGATAAACAGGCTGAACTTACCATTGTAGTCACACTTTCTATTCTCATGTTCAAGAATATAGAGATTTGCTTTGGCTTCATGTTTTGTATTATATCAAAGCCAAACATCACAAATAAAATTAATTGAAAAATAGATACTGAAATACAAAATATTTTATTAGTATGTGTTCTTAATACTTCTTGGATAAATATCAGTGATGATTTATGTATTAAAATAATTAAATAATATATTTGAAATTTGAAAGTATTCCTTGGGGTCTTTCAACTTACATTTTACAAAAATTTCCACTATTTCTTGGCTTTGGTATATTATTTGCTTTTCTACCATTAAGCACTGAATTCCAAAAAGGGAGAACTTAACACAGGTAATATTTATTTTGATTCAGCATTTCAGAGGGCCCAGCTGAAGGCAGCTTGGCACCATGCATTTGGGTCTGCAGAGCCTTATGATGGCAGGACTCTGAGATGGAGGATTATTTTTATGTCATATAAGAAAGAGAAAACAAAGGAGAATGAAGGAACCAGGCTGGCTTTCTCCTCCTTACCTTTTATTCCATCCTTGTCCCCAGTCATTAAGATGGTGTTGTCCATGTTCAGGTTCAATCTTTCCGAGTCTCAGAATTCATTCTCTGATGCACATCAATTAGGCGTGCTACATCAGTCTCCAGAAGAGTTGACAGTCAAACCAAAGATCATACTCAGTGTCCTTTTGAGGCCAACCCATATTCCTTTCTACAAATGCAAAATTCAGGGTTCCAATTGGCTTGCTGTCTTTCATCTTTGCTTTCTTGTTTACTTACATTTAAATTTTTTTTGTTCCTTACTTTCTTCCTCTTTTTCCATTTAATTCAGTCTGCTAGTGTCTTCTGTATTTACTCCCCATAACATAATAATGGAGCTATTTGCCATAGATTTCTAAAGAATTTGTCTGTTGGCTGCTGGAGTCCCTGAAGTGTGAGAGACTATGAATTGAGCCTTTGTAAAGTGGATCCAATGTACATAGCTGTGTCTAAATGATTAATCTTAAGGAACTGCACTGAAGAAATAATTTTTTGTTGTGACTTGTTTTTCTTTGTGTATTGATTCTAGAATTTTTTCTAATCTACAAAAATGATTCTCATATGCATGTAGAAAAAGAAAGGGGTTTCTATCAGATCTTTTTCATTCATTAATTGTTTTGGAATAAATTAACCTGGTTTATGAAAAGCTGCATGCAATAAAAATGAATTTAGTAATCATTTTGGGCTATTGCAAAGAGTTAAATCTTCTAAGTACTAAGCCTATGATTTTTCCTAGACAGACAGCTGACTAGCAAATGAATGACACAGCTTTTATACTCTACTTGTTCAGAATTATCATCTTCAATGGACCTCAAAATTGCTCTCTTAGTTAATAGACTCACATTACCACAAAATCATTTTTTCTCTTTTTTGGGAAAGGGTTGAAATTAATGGCAACCCTTGTTGTAAGCATATTCTCTCTTAAAATAGTCAGTGGAATTGAAAATTATATCTATTACCATAATAAAATCTCTTTTATGGATTGACACTTCAGAATTTCTGCACATTAGAATTACAGGGTTGGTCCTACAATACACCAGTAGACTCCATGAAGGTTAACTTAATTATTGATTTTAAATGTGTAAAGACAGGGGTCAGCTATTTTCCCTCCAAACTGAAAAAGAATAATAGGAACTGAACAGGAGTGGAATCAAGATACTGCTTGCTATTACAGATGAAAATCTTGCAACATTTTGACAAAACACTATTTTCTTCTCATTTATTTTTATTTTTGATTTTTTGAATATATATTATATTGAGTTTTTGTGCATTTCTCATAACAGAACTTAATCAAATTTAAAACCCCTACCCTTCCATGACCCTCCATAGTCTTCCCATTTATATGTATATGAGTGTTTTGCCTGTATATGTGTGCAATACCTGTGGTGCCAAGAAGAAGGGGTCATCCCTTGAAACTGGAGTTAATGAATGGTTGTTATCCACCATGAAAATGCTGGGAACTGAAGCCAATTTTTCTCCAAGAGCAGCCAGTTTTCTTAAATGTCAAGTCATCTTTCTAGCCCACAAAGCATTATTTTCTTGAAAAATACCTTTCTTCAAGTTTAAATCAACCAGGTCTGAAACCGAATATAAAAAACCAAAGCCAGGCATGGTGGTTTGTTTCTGAATCCCAGCACTTGGAAGGCTGAGGCACAAGAATCATCAGCAAGAGTGAAGGCTAGCTTGAGTAATGTAGCAAATTCCATGTCAAGTAAAAAAAAAAAAAAAAGAAAGCAAAACAACTTTAATATTACTTGTTATTAGTTGCCTCACTTTTGCATTGATTATAAGTATTATTATTTTGGTTTTATGAGACAGGGTTTCCCTGTAGCCTCAAATGGCCTAGAGCTTTCTATGTAGATGTATAGCCTTCATCTCACAGGGATCTGCTTCCTTCTGTCTTCATAGTGCTGGAATTAAAGGTATTCACCACCATAGCAGACTCATAACCTGTATTTAATCAAACTGCACCTTTTTCTCTGCTTTGTTTATTGGAAAGTAAATAATTTTGCATTTGAATGACTGCATCAAAATGATAGCATTGATCTAATTAATGAATAGATACACTTTACCTCACCTAGATCTCTGAGTTTGTGTATTCCATCTTAAAAGGATTTACATTACATATTAATGTTTGTTAGCTAAAGAACATGTTTATGTAAGGAGCCATGTACTAGATAATTGGACATATGTGCATGTGGTAGTCACACTATAGCCTTTCAAATTTTCTTTCATATTTAGCATTGTAATTTTTGTTACTATGACTCTCTTAGATTGCCCCTACATCTGACAATGACTTTGGACGATATAACTGCACAGCTACTAACCGCATTGGAACAAGATTTCAAGAATATATTCTTGCTTTAGCAGGTAAATATAGGACCATAATATCTGACATCTCATAATGCAATTTTATATACAATGTAATTTTATGTTGATAAAATTATATCATCTAATTGATGTTTTCAAGTAAAATACTTAACAATTTCATAAATCTTTGTACTAGATATTATTTGAAAGACTGAACCAAGGTTTAGAAACATGAAACAGAAGCATTTTACAAAGTGAACACTTTGTTTGATACTTAGGCTTATTTTTATATTTTAATTTACACTCATGTATATGTATGTGACAACTTTATGAAAGGAGGAAATGTAGTTTTTAGAGTCAAATTATATTTGATTAAAGGAAAAAACTTTGCCAACATATTTTAAAAACAAAAACAGTGAGAATTAATAAACTATGATTAATCTACTTAAAATTCTAGACATTAAAGAATAAATAGCAATCATAGAGTGTAACGATCTAATTTATGAAAGATGGTCATTTAAATTGCTGCCTAAATATATTCTCAAAAACAATGTCATCATTTGAATATGATCAGTAGGGATTTTTGTGGTTATTTGGGGTTTTTTTTTTTTTTCTACTTAAGATAGGGTGTCTTGTAACCCACCTTGGCTTGGAAATTTCTAGTACTCCAGGAAGATCATACACTCCTCATGCTCCTGCTTTCACATCACGAGTGCTGGGAACACAGGCATGCACCAGCACACTAAGTTATGGAATAATGTTTAATTCAACAAACTTTGGAATACTCAAATAATTGCAGTAGTTAGAAAGGCTACTTTGTGTTTCACATCACGGAGAAGAAAGCAAAGTGAGAAAGACCTTTGTGTGAGGAATTGAGTGGACGCTTTGGGGATGGCATACTAGAGATGAGAGAAAAAGGGAGCACGAGATGAAGGAAGGAAGCACGTAAAACAACACTTTCCTGAAGAAATGAAGTCACTGATGGATTTTTGTTTTGTTTTGTTTTGTTTTTGTCCTTTTGAGACAGGGTTTCCCCATAGCCCCAGCTGTCCTGGAACTCACTATGTAGACCAGGCTGGCCTCAGACTCACAGAGATAGGCCTGCCTCTGCTTCAAGAGTGTTGGGATTAAAGGCATGTGCCACCACGCCCGACGGAAGATTAGTTTTAATGAAAATCTTGGGACATGTACTGTTCACGTTTAGATCAATGCATTAAACTTAATATGTGAAAAAATAACATCTGTAAAAATAAAATGTGCTAAGTTATATCAAATTATATATAAGAAATAGAACTAACATTTGGACAGATGAAAAACATACATAATTTGTGTTAATTGCATACTTTAGTAAAGAGGCATATTTCATTTTAAAAATGCATGTAGAATTAATATGTAAATGTGTAATATATTCATATCAATACACTATTATATATAAAAAGCGATTGACTTCTAAACTATTGGGGAAAATTCCATAAAGGGCCAGAACTCATTTTCATATGCTATAATAGTGTCTAATACTAGGGGAAATGTGAAAAAAAAAGTTATCTTGTTTAAATATATTTAAAAAACATCCTGGGGTTGGAGAGATGGCTATGAGGTTAAGAGAAGTGGCTGTTCTTGGAGAGAACCTGGGTTAGGTTCCCAGCAAAAACATGGTCACTAACAACCATTTGGCCAGTAACAACCATCAGTAACTCTATTTCCCGGCAATCTGAAGCCTTCATCTGACCTCCATGGGCATTGCACAACAGATGTGCATTTATATACATACAGAAAATACACTCATATATACAGAATAAAAATAATAAATAAAATATTTTTGAATAAACAATTCTGTTGAGATTAGAGAAAATACTTATTAGCTCACAATGCTTTAATATTTTTAATTAAAAATAGAATTGATGCCTCTGCTTCTAAGGTTTAAATCAAATACACTTACAGTATTCCATACTGACCAAAACAAAATTAAAATGTATCATATAAGATAGATTTTAGAGTGATGACAGAAAAATTTTATTACAGAGTGAAGTCCACTTTTTGCCCAGCATTTAATGTAATTATATGCTGAACATACATGTAAGCAATACACCAATAAACAGAAAAAATAATAAATAAAAATCAGCCACAATTTTAATATATGTTTAAAAATTTAATATGGCTCTGAACTTCTTTGGAGAAGCATATGTTTATTTATTTACTTGCCCTTTTATTTATTATAATTATTTTATATGTATGAGTGTATTTTCTGCACAAATGTAAGTGTACCCCTGTCATGCAGTGCCCATAGAGGTTGGGAAAGGGCACTGTATCCCCTGGAACTGGAGTTACAGATGGTTGTTAGACATCATGTGGGTGCTGGGGACAGCACCTGAGTCTCTCAAAGAGCAGCCACTGCTCTTAACTGCTAAGCCATTTCTCTATCCCTGAGAAGCATATGATTACACCCAATTCATTATGTAATATTTAGAATATATTTTTCTCATGAAATTCAAACAATAAATAGGTAATCTGAATTCTAATAAGTATTGCAATATGTATACATAGATCATAGTTTAATATACCATTAGGCTATTTGATTAATATAAATGTTCAAGGACCTTTCACATATAACAATTTTCCCTGCCACTGACTGAGTTATTTGGCAAAGACCACAAGTTGGTAGATAAAATTTATTGTGAAAATAGTGCTATATATTCAGAGGGAAATGTATGTCTTTTATTATATTTAATTATTTTTTCATGTTTGCATCTATATATACATGTGAGTGTACGTGTGTATACATGTGTGTGCACATATGTGTGCATTTATGTGTATGTGTGTGCTCAGCCACTTTTCAAGAAGCGTCTTTGTTCTGGGAATGTCATTTCAAACCAAAATTCCTCATCTTCTTCTACCCACTGAAGAAAGTTAGGATCTGCCACAGCACTGCAAGGCCGATCTAGGCTTCTAATAATCATTCCTCGCTAAAAGTAACAAAAGCACCTTGTAAAAATACTTGATTCCATAACTGAGAAGTGCTAAAAGAGGACACTGGCAAAAACTGAGGTGCCATAAAGTAAAAGATATTATAAAGGTAGAAACTTTTACAATGTTCATATATCAAAAGCATTCACAAAGAAATCAATTTCATTAACTAATGTGGCACAATTCACCCAGCATGAATCAATGATTTAAGAAAAATGAAAATAATGAAGTATAAATGATTTTAATGTATTAATGATTCATTACCTAAGAAATACTGTAACTTTGGAGTTGTCAAATCTATCATAAACCTCTTTAGTAGAGTAATCAAAGTCAACCTCATCAGTAATGAGAATATGATACTTGGTTGTTATCTGAAAGAGGCAACCAGGAAGCACAAAGCACAAGCGTGCTCAAAGTAGGAGACAGCTGTTACTGTAGTTCACATTGACACTTTTCTGTTGTTTTGATGATAATATATCAATGTATTTTAGCTACAATTTATGGATTTTAATGTCATAGGTTACTGCCTCATAGTATGAAACCACCCTGCGTATTTTGTACATTTCATTTCCTTTAAATAATGATTTAAGTTTGCCTTTCTCTTTCTTTCTGCTAGTGTGCTGCACATGCCTTTTCCACTGCTATGAAGGGAAGCCTCTGATACTGTTATTTCAGAGCTGATTTTTTTTTAACCTCAGTTCGGGGCCCATGCTTACCACTTTTAAAGTTCAAGTTGTCATTTTTTAGTCATCTTTTTAATGTATTGAGACCATATCAAATCAATATTTGAGTTTTCTTTCCAAGATTGATTTAATTCACAAATATCAAAGTTGTCACCTCTATTTTCATCCAAGTCATAGAAAAACCTCTCTTAGTCAATTTGAGGAATAGAGAACTGATTCAGGTTATACTGTGTCAAATGCACTGAATTCTGTAGATACAGAATATTAGCCATTTCACTGGTCCTTGTGACAAAATAGCATCCTATTCTAAAAACTGGCTAAAATTCATTTATTTGAAAACAAACTTTAGTAGGTTGATTATTAACCTAGATTTCTCTAAGTAAAATAGAAAGGTATGAGTTTACTTTCTTTCTTTCTTTCTTTCTTTCTTTCTTTCTTTCTTTCTTTCTTATATTCCACAACCTGAAGATATGAAGCAAACTTAATCATATTCAGGACCTACTTAGAAAAGTGTCTTAATTTTTCATTCACACACTGCTATCAGAAACACAAATTCTGATAATTTGACAATGTTTATAAGAATCTGTGTTTTACTTATTCTTAACCAATTGTTGCCAAAAAAAGGCGAGTTTCTCCTAGAATAACTCTATTGGATCATAAGAATGGAATGTTGAGTAAGAAAAGCACCCAGTCACTCCACATAAATTAGTGTTCAATGGATAAGGGTTAGAGTAGAATTAAGATCAAACACTGGGCAACAGGAAATAGACTTCTGATTGGAGTTCTTGGGAAGAGCTTCAAACAGGTGACCTCCTTGAACTAGGGTGGCATAAATAAGAAGAAAAGGACCAGTAAAATGGAAAAACTAAGTCAAGGTGATAGTCAAAACAAAAGCATTGTGTTATGAAAGAGTGTGAACTACTTAAAATTGAGACATTTAGTTCAAGAGTTGAGAAATATCATCTATGATCATTCCAGTGTTTGGCAATGTGAATAGAGAAGTAAAAAAAGATCAAATTATGGGTTTGCTTTAAAACATATTCACATTCTCTCTAATGCACAGAAGGAAAAAGTGGAAAACTTTTATTAATAATGCAACACGATGCATTAATTTTGGAACTACTAGAGACTGATTTGTATCACAAGAAGTGGACAAATGTTATTGTCTTATTTCTCTAAGTGTCTTTCTACCATAAAACACATAGATGATAAATAGATAGTGTCTTTATTCCATAAAATCACAAAGATAGATGGATGATAGATGATAGATAGATGACAGTAGATAATAAACATCTTCCTTTATTATTTCACTTTCATAAGTTGTTCCTTCTTATTGTATAAAAGGTTTGGTGTGTTATATTTTATGAGCTTATGAAACACAAATGACAACCCAAATTAAAGAAGGTGCATGTGTGTCTATGACTATTAATCATATAGAGACTTAGATATGAAACAAATAATTTCCAATGATATATTGGTAGTGAATGAATATATCTGCAGAGAATATATGAGGTAAAAATAATCTGATTTCATTTCACAGCACCTACATGGTAATGAACAACCATCCATCACTCTAGCTTAAGGGAATCCTAGAGCCTCTTCTAGCCTCCAGTGGCATTGCATGCACACGTGCACTTACATACATGCAGGCAAATCTCTTATACATATAAAATAAAAATTCTCCCCCCCAAAGGGAAGGCTTTGTTTCCCTAGGTGCACTCTCTCGGGGTACACTTCTTGGTGAATAGTGTATATCTATTACAGACAAAGTAAAAACAAAGGATTGTGTACTTGTTACATCAAATGTAAGATCCCAGGAGGCTAGTTCTCCCCTTGAACTCAGAATATGCTATCTTTACTTGGGACAGGTCTTCAAAATTAAAACACTATTGTGGTGATGTCCAACTTAGATCATATGAACAGATACAGTGGACTGGAGGATTGTCAGTCTTAGTATGAAGTATCTTTGTTATTTTTGCTACTATTTTGATTAAAACTTACAGAAGAAATTTTAATATCGAATCCAGATGAATTTTGTAATGTAAACTACAGATAAAATGACCTACAGATCAATGCAAATATTTAAAAAAAAAACATAAAACTGAGAGAGTATTTATGTATGAATGCAGAATACATTATTTAAATAGCTTGAGATTTACATTTCTCAATAAGATTTTAATAGCAGTACGAACTTTAGCTGCATCAGTTTTCTACACATTTATATTTTAAACTTACAGTTAGGACACAGTGTATCTCCAAGCATCTCTAAGTAATTTATACTTGGTAATTAAAGTTTAAATCTACATTGCTATATTTCATCACAGAATTCACACCAAAAAAACCATAAACATGTCACCCTGGCTCTTGCTCAGTACCATTTATAAAGCATATTTTTAAGTGATATACAGTACTGGTTTTAACTGTAAAAAGCAGGGGAACATTAAAAAACCAAACGAGGCTTTTTAATGAATGCTTAATTGATACAATGATAGTAATTTGTATATACACATTATACATATGCACATATGTATATATTCATTTTATGAAAATGTCTATATTTGCTTCCTTTTCCAAATATTATTTCATAAAGCATATAAAAAAGAGATTGAGAGTGCAGTTGCCTTAAAATTTAATGTTATATATTTTGAAGTTTCATTAAAACCATTTTCATAAGTTCTTTGCAGATAATTTTTCTTTTTGATTTTCTTCTCTGATTTGTTCAGACTTAAAAATAATTATCCTAAATATTTTTTTGTAGATTATAAATTAAAATAAAAATTTCTTAGACTATATTTTGAGTTTTAAAGAATGTAATTATGAGTCTGTATAATTATAAATTTAAAATAATTTTCTAACTGCCTTTAAAAAGGGTGGGGAGGCATTAAGCTGAGCAAGCTAGTGCATACCTTTAGATCTAGCATCTGGGAGACAGTAGCAGCAGACCTTTGTGAGGCTGAGCCCAGCTTGATCTAGAGAGCAAGTTCCAGGCCAGCTGGGGCTACAGACAGACACTGACTCAAAAAAGAAACAAACAAATGAAAATAACATTAAATAATAAATAATAAATAAATAAATAAATAAATAAATAAATAAATAATAGATTGAAAATAGTATCTTGGGGCTGGAGAGATGGCTCAGCAGTTAAAAGTGTTGGCTGTTCTTGAAGAAGATCCAGGTTTCAATTTCAACACCCCTATGGTGAGTAACAACCAGAAGTAACTCCAGTTCCAGTGGATCTGTCTCCCTCTTCTGTACTCCAAGGGCATTGCACAACACAGGTGTACGTACAGACATGCAGGCAATACAGGAATACACATAAAATAAAATGAATAAATATATTAAGCAAAACAAAATGATTATCTCTACTAAAGTTTTATTTCAATTAATTAAAAAATGTTTGAGTTGGTAGAGTTCTGTAATACTTCTGTCAAAATACTAAAATTTTCTCTAAACTTAAGTTACCAAAAATTATCCATATATATGTATATAATTATTACTTTTATGCCATACTAGAGATTAAAGCCAAAGTCTTTACATGTAAAGTAAACACTACTACAGCCCACTTTGTATTTTTCATATGAAATAAAGTCTTACTTAGTGTCCCAGTTTGGCCTCTAAATTTCAGACAACACAGGATGGCCTTGAAGTTGTCATCTGCCTGTTTCAGCCTCCCAATCAGTTGAGATTACAGACCTATGCCCCCTGGCCCACAGTAATCATAAAGTTGTAGGAACAAAAAGAAAACATATTTTACCAAAATATATGTATGATCATTCCTGAATAATAGTTTACTAGTTCTTTTTTAAGAAGTTGTTTTATTGATTTTTTACATAAAATACCCTTTCTATAGTGCTACCTCTATTTGTCCCTTCTGTCAAACATACATGTGCAAGCACACACACATGAACTTGTTTTCTTTCCCTTCAATAAAATATTTAACATTTCATAAAAATTTCAGAATTAAATAAAATAATGATTTGTGATATATGTGTTGAATATTTTACTGTTATTTACTGTGTTAATAAAAACTGGCTCTCACTTATCTTACAAATTGAAGAATTATTTATCTCTTTCTGTAAGGTTTTTAATTGAAACAGATTAAGTGATATACATAATAATTTTCCTTCATTTCTAATTCCCATAGCAATGTAAGACTTAATATCCATTCACATTGTTTGGGTTATTTTTTATTTTGCTTTTTGTAGATGTGCCATCCAGTCCCCATGGAGTGAAGATTTTAGAATTGTCACAGACCACAGCTAAAATATCTTTCAACAAACCGGATTCCCATGGAGGTGTGCCTATTCACCACTACCAAGTGGACGTCAAAGAAGTGACATCAGAAACCTGGAAAATAGTACGCTCCCATGGAGTTCAAAGTGAGTTAAATAATCCATCATGTGTGTATTAACTCATGCCGGTGTTCAATGTGTCTGTTTGGGGAGCTCCATATTTTACTTAATTTTATTTTTTCTTTCCATGCACTGGGATGGGAAAGCTATGGCCATGGCCTTAGTCTCTTTAAGAATAATTGAATTTAGAATTGAATTTTTTTTTAAATTTAGAAAGTAAGTTTTTCTTTCTTACAGTCTAAGGATCATACACAGAATCTTTTCTATGCCTGGAAATCTATGCAATATAGAGTTACATTCTTATTTGGATAAATCATCTACCATTAATAAGAATGAAAGAGCTAAAGAGAATCATCAAAATAATAGTTGAAATCAAAGTTTGAGTTTGATGTTTGTTTTTTTTTAATATTTTATTTATTATTCTTATTTTATGTGTATGCATGTATTGCCTGCATGTACATAAGTGCACCTGTGTCATGCATGCCTGTGGAGGACAGAAGAGGCTGTCAGATCCCCTGAAACGGAGTTACAGACAATTGTGAGCTGCCATGTGGGTTCTGAGATTCAAACCTGGGTCTTCTGCAAGAACAGTCAGTGTTCTTAACCGCTGAGCCATCTCTCCAGCCCTGAGTTAGATGTTTTGATCAAAAGAAAATTAATGACAAATTAGATATGATGATTAATAGTTTTAATTGGGGTTTATTTTTATTTATTCATATTTTCCCTAAGTAGATATGAATGTCATACTACAAAATAGATTAATTATGCATGTCTTCATAAAGCCATTTATATAAATTCACCACTGTGTTAAATCTGTTTCCAAATTGTGCTTTAAAAATGCACTATTGAAAATACATTTTTATTTCAACTCATGTCATTTAGAATAATATAATGATCTAACCCTGAAAAGTTGAAGGAATCTAGGTTATTCTATTTGACTCAAGGTAGTTCTGTTCTGCTTGGAAATAGTGACTTTATTTCTCAGTATTGAATAAACTATGGTAGGAAATAATAAGAAATTATGAGTGTTTGAATCTGTATATCAGAATGAGAATCATTGATTGAGTTAGCCAATAAAAAGTTTGAAAAAGAGTGAGAAAATTAACCTTGTGTACTTTATTTCTTATGAGGCCTCAAAGTCTGCCTAAATCTTTATACTGTAAGGTTCCAGTTTAGGGCTGAGGCATTTTGGGAAGACAACAGGGAACAGATCACAGTAGAGAGAAAGGAAATTACACTATACATGTCACATAAGTTGAAATATGCTCAGATTCTAATGAAAGTAACAAGGATTTTTTTTCAAAAATAAAAATACAAAAGTTATATATGCATCAATACTTGATAAATGACCAAATACTACATACTTTCTATAGTGTCACAAATAGGGGTTTTCCTATTAATTCTTTTAATGATGACACATTTCAAAGAGTTAGCAAGTTAGCATTCTGTTTCCTTCTTCACATGTTTACATGCTGTTTGTCTCAGGAGAAGGGATTTAAAAATCAGTAATTAGGGTTATACACTTTGACCATAAATCTTGAAGCATGAAAAATATGCTATATTTATGTTTTAAAGGCACAGAAAACAAAGGAGTCCTATAGTCCCATTTGAGGAACAGAATGGTAGGTACTTACATATCACCATGAAGAAGAATGTTAAATATGAGTATTGTGAGAATGAAAGTATCCCTGCCTGGCCCCGCCTTCGTCCACCTACATTGAAAGGTGATAGAGTTTTCCTTTAAATGCCTTGCAATTTGGACATTGCCATAGATAAGTATAATGCTCTAAAAATATCCAAGATGATTATGTTTGAAAATCTCACATCATTTCTCTTAAAACCATCTGTCATAATAGAATCTAATGTTTGTAAGACAGATATGTCTTTATAAGAATAGGTCAGCTGTTAATCTACAATGTGAAATCTCCACAATCACAATCTACACCCATTCCTATATATTGTACAAAGTAGAACACACTTCAGTAAATTGCTTTGTGAGCTTTAAATACAAGCTGGAGGATAATATGAGCTTGCCATTGAGACAAAAATCTACAAAGTCCCATGGTTAAGGCTTTTTCGTGTTACTTTGGAAAAAAAATTAATTTTTTTCTTCCTTTATTGTCTGAGTCTTCTTCACAGAAATGTTAATAAGTAACATAACTCAGATAATGGTCATATAAGCAAACAATGGCATGTTCTTAAATAAGCACAGCACAAATGTAAATATATTTTAATTCAATTGCACTTTATTCCTTTTAAATCTCAGTTTGGGAGTTTTGACAAGATCTTTCACAGATACTATTGATTTGATGTCATGTTCAAGTATAGAAGTAAGAAAATTCATCCTATATAGCTTAAAATGTAGCTAAGAACACATATCTCCAGCTGCACATTTGGGTGAGAAAAAGGAGCATATACCTTTACTTCTCTTGGGCTCTAGTTGTCTTTGGACTGTCCCTTGCAACTGTGCTGTCTGTGAAACAGGAGTCTAGTTATTTTCCTTTTGAGATAGCAGGTGAGGGGTCACAAAAATACCAAAGGGCTATCTTGAGATAGAATAAAATGGACGTTCTTTGGCCAGAGTTCTTGGATGGAATGCTTCTTATTTTGACATTCTTGGACACTTCACAGCTCACTGGGTTTTGTGTTAAATGCACCTACTCTACAACTTTATGAGATTTACATTTCACTGAGAGAGAAATTGTAAAAACTTAGCTGACTCCTTTCTATAGTCATCCTTTCCCCAAGTTCTAGTGAGTTATGGAAAACAGACATGTATGAAAACAAGTTCAAGAGGGAAGTAAACACTAGCTTCCTACTATGGCCTTTATGTCTAATCATCTTTTGAAGTATTTTCACATGCCATATATATGTCCTGTTCTACTTAGAAAATTCACTAGCCAAATCGTGAGATTTTCTTCCATTTCTGGTCCTCTGTTTATACAGTTTATGGTGTGAGGGGTGGACAATTTGCACTTGCTAGAATGTCATAACTAGAGCTATAGACCCAGTGCATTCTCTTTTTATTCAATGTTCTGAGCATGTCCAAACTTTTTTCCTATTTCTTATCTGATGGCTTTTCCTTTTCTGACTGAATTCTCTCAAGTGAAAATTATAGTACAGAAATATCTCCTATCAGTACACCATATAATTCCTATTACTGCACTGATGTTATTGATTCTGTGTAAGTTTAAATGAACAATTATATATTTGACTTATCAAATGCTGAATTCCTACTCTCTAGTACAGGTGACAGTGTGGTCATATTTTTATATATAAAATACTTTCACAAAAATCATTTCTCAGGGTTGGAGATCCTCTTGGAGAGGATCCGTGTTCAATTCCCAGCACCCATATGGTGCCTGAGAGTCATTTAAGGTCCAGTTCCAGGGGAATCCAACATCCTCTTCTGATCAACACAGGCATTGAACAACATGGGTATACTTACACACAAGTAGGCTATACACTCATACCCATAAAGTAAATAAAAATATATTTTAAATTTTAAATTTTATTTTATGTGTATGCATGCATTGCCTGCATGTAGGTAAGTGCACCCATGCCGTGCAATGCCCGCAGAGGACAGAAGAGGCTTTTGGATCCCCTGGAACTGGAGTTACAGGCAGGTGTTAGCTGCTGTGTGGGTTCTGGAATTCAAACCCGGGTCTTCTGCAAGAATAGCCAGTGTTCTTAACTGCTGAGCCATCTCTCCAGCCCAAAAAGAAAAATCATTGGTTTCTTTGTATAATATCTTTTTTTTAAACAGGAAACAATATGACAATATGTCACCAAAAGAATAAAATTGGTAGTCAAGGAAAATAACATGCTGTGATATTTGTCTTACACTTCCATCCTTTTAGCAAAATGGGTTATACTTTCCAATGATATGATAAGAATATTCACCATTATGACTACTTATGCTTATAAAATATGAAATACCAGAACTGATAATTATTTATAATTTTATAATTGCTTTTACTATTTATTGTTTAGTAAAAATCATCTGTTTATTAAAGCAATGGTTGGAGTGTTGGCACATGTAACATAGGTTTCTTTTTTCTGTTTGATTGTTTGATTTTTTTGTGAGACAAGATCTCCCTGTAACTCCAGCTGATGTTGAACTCACTATGTAGACAAAATTGGCCTCAGTCTTACAGAGATAGGCACAGGTCTGCCTCTGGAGTGAGTGCTGTGGTTTAGCTATATGTTTCAAACATAATCCCTTGTACTGTCATCAGACAGGGCTATATCCTTTCAACACTTCCTAGAATTGTTCTTTTGCTCTGAACCACTTAAAATATGCTTTCACCATTCCTCCTTCATTGAGGAAAGTTTGCTTTCCCCACTATGATGGACTGGTCATGTTATTATATTTCTTGTACTGAATCATACTGTGCTTGTGTAATACATCATATTTAAATCTTGCTTTAATTCATATGTCCCTTCTACCATCGTGCATAAACCTAGACATAATAATTCAATATTCTCAGTTTTTCAAGTGTTTGAAGCATGTGAATATGGTGGGAGTATTCAATTATGGGAAAATGGAAAATGGAAGTGAAAATTTTTTACTGTCAGGGTCTTTAAAATGAAATTTTTTTATGTATCTTCTTGCAATAATATGCATCTACAGAACAAATGAAGATTAAGAATCAAAGTTTGTATTAGAGATTAATACTAATAAAAATGGACAGGCAGTAGAATTGGGCAAATAGAATAATTCCACTCTAGTTTAAATTCTAGAAAAACTCAACCAAGCTGGATAAGAAACTCCAGAGAGAACTTTAATCCATCTCAAATATAGCACCTTACCTATGACACATTGTTGCTAAGGAGCATAACATTGCAATTTATTTCAGTACTTCTGGTCACTTGACATCATGGTTCAGTCAGTATTGATTGGTCAATCATTCTTTCATTAAAATGCAATTTATAGCAACATATTATTTAAAAATTAAAGGACATACAATTCTACACCACCTCTTGCATTACCTTAACAAGAAAAACTGAGAATTTCATCATTATTT